TATTATTCAGTGTTTTGAATATCATAAACTAGGTTGTTCTTTTTGAGCGGTAGCTGGTGAGTTTAGAACAAAATTCGGGAAACTATAAATATAAGTCTGTGGACGGAGAGCTGTATAAACTTTTGATTTCCGACACCATGAACCAGGGATCGAATCCCGTATTGATCTTTTTTTTTTTAATATGTGAAGAGAGAGAGAAAACCTCTTCATATATTATTCATTGATGAAAATTTTGCCGGGAGGAAATTGATCTATAAAAGATAAAGGTCACCTCTCCCGTCAAAATAGACGTCAAAACCAGACGCAACCTATTGACTGTCGCCGCAAATTAGCGGCCTTAGGTCGGTGACAAAGCCACAACACCAGCTTTGGTAAACTGAGAAGCGTCCACCTAGAGACCATGGTTTCGGGCTAATGGCCCTCGTCAGTCTAGGGTGGACTTTATTCTATGATATCCACAAGGGATCTGATGGAATCTTGACAATCTGCCAAAGAGGTGTTTAGCTGGTAAACTGGCTGGGCCAAATCTATGGCTAGAATATAGATGCAAATTTTGCCGGGAGGATATCGATCTATAAAAGACAAAGGCTACCTCCCCCGTCAAAATAGACGTCAAAACTAGACGCGATCTATTGACCGTCGCTGCAAACTAGCCGCAAATCAGTTTGTCAAAGCTGGTGTTGTGGCTTTGTCACCGACCTGAGGCCGCTAGTTTGTGGCGACGGTCAATAGGTTGCGTCTAGTTTTGTCGTCTATTTTGACGGGGGAGGTAGCCTTTGTCTTTTATAGATCGATATCCTCCCGGCAAAATTTGCATCTATATTCTAGCCATAGATTTGGCCCAGCCACCTTGCTAGCAAAACACCTCTTTGGCAGATTGTCAAGATTCCATTAGATCCCGTGTGGATATCATAGAATAAAGTCCGCCCTAGGCTGACGAGGGCCATTAGCCCGAAACCATGGTCTCTAGGTGGACGCTTTTCAGTTTGCTAAAGCTGGTGTTGTGGCTTTGTCACCGACCTGAGGCCGCTAGTTTGCGGCGAGGGTCAATAGATAGCGTCTAGTTATGACGTCTATTTTGACGGGAGAGGCGCCCTATGATTTTATTTTATTCATTATAAATAACATAAGCTAGGTTGCTTTTTTTTGAGCGATACCTAATAAATTTATTTTGGAATTGGAACAGATTCGGGACACTCAATATTTTTTTAATTTTTATTAGGTTATTTTAACCATTTTTAGTAAAAAAGGAATCTATATTTTTAATAAATTACTTTAAAAAGTTTGTAAAATGTAGTTTAAAAAAGATATAAAAGCAATATAAAATTGAATGAAGAGATCCAGATTTAAACACCTTTTACTGTTAGTTTTTAATATTTTGATTCCTCAAATCTTCTATTTCCTTTTCCATTTGATGCTTCTTTCTATTGAAGTAGCATTCAAGACAGTTGTATTATTTATCTTATTTTTTTAAATCTTATTTACTATTATTATGTTTATTTTTATTATGAGGCCGATCTGATTCCGAATATCCAAGGGTTTATGGTGATACATCAGGTTGTATCATGCCACATTTTTCAACCGTTAGGTGTCCTAGAATGTCATCTCTGGTCAGACCTTTTACTGTAATTGGATCACTAATGGATTTTTGGAAGTCACTAGGAAATTTGGTCGTTTTTATTATAATAGAGAATTTTGTCTTTAAGATTTTTAAATTTTTCTTCTAAGCTTTTTATGTGTTCTTTATCGTACTATCGTAAAGGTAGAGGTTGCCTGGCCGGCATTCATATTTATATAAAAAATAGACACTTCGGTCAGTTAGAGTTTATTTTTTCTCAACGTTTCAACAAAAATCTTTTGTCTTCATCAGTAGAAGTAAATAAAGCATTTGGCAAGGCGTTAAAAATTGTTCTGAGGTTTGCAAGGGCGTTCTCACGTGATTTTTCGAATTTAGTACAACATCTAAAGCTCGAGTCAAAAACAAATATTAAACTCGTCAAAGACTATGATCTTGGAAATAAATAAATTATATATAATAATAAAATTATAAACAAATAAATAAATAAAGTAATATAATGATAATAATTACAAAGATTACATATTATTTTATAAATTTCTGACTACAAGCGCTGGAGCTCTTGCTTTGCATAAATCGGCCACTAAATTTCAATCATTTGCATGTTTGGTCGAAACCTCTTTGTATACGTATTTTCATATAAATTGGACAACTGCTTCTTGGTGCGTCGATTTTTTGAAATTTTTTTGAATGTCTTTTTACACATAAAACCAACTTCTACTGTCCTTACTGCGATGAAAAAATATTGGGAGGGCTTGGCTTATCAGTGGTGAACCTTCCCAGTGGTTTCACCAATTCAATCTACCAGACCTCTTCTTTAGAGCTCTAATACTGTATTGGATCATTCTGTTTATATGCTACACTGAAGGATGGAATCTTAGAAATGGTATTTAAGTAAACTGTTGGATCTTTTTAGAAGATTACTCTCTGGTTTTTCTTAAGACGGCTTTAAGGGTAATCGAAGAATGATTTACAGAACCAAAACATGTTCAAATTAAAAAAAAAGGGGAAAATTATTTCTATGTTTTGGTAGAAGAATGGTATAATAATCTGTTGTGCGCTTTTCAACAGAAACGACCTAGGTTCGACTCTATCATTGGACTTTTCTTTTTTTTGACAATAAAATTGCTTCAATGGCCCCTGATTCTTGCAAAAGTACAACACCACCCTTGATTGTAAATACAGTTAAACCTGTCTATAGCACCCCCTCTTGGGACTCGCCAAAATAGGGTGCTATAGAGAGGGGGTGCTATAGACAGGTCACTTTTAATGTAAATCACATCGTACTACGTATTTAAAATCGGGTGCTATAGAGAGGAAGGCGTTATTTAGAGGAGGCGCTATAGACAGGTTTAACTGTATATAAAAAATGAAGCTCTGGTACACTTGTAAAGTGCAAAAAGTCTAACTGCTTTCTACATGTTTCTGAATTCTACGTATTCTTCGTAGATCACCAAATACGTGGTGTCGCTGGAGACCCGCTGGTGATTCTCCACCAAACTCTGCAGCGTAGGTAGAGACGTCATATTCATTGTACATAGTATCATATATATATGATATTAAATCAATAGTGCAGACACTGTGTGGACTTTTACATATATTGACAAGATGTCAATGAATTTATATTAATTATCTATATATATATTTTAGATAAGTTACCTTTACAGAGACTTTTGTATATAACTACACCCATACCTCGCTTTGCGTCGGGGTTACGTTCCAAAAAAACACGACGCAAAGTGAAAATAAAATTTTGATGGCATGGCGCAATCAAAAACAAAGGTGTTGCCATATTTTAGGAAAAAAAAATTAAAGACTCGAATCCAAAACAACGCAACTTCGAAAATCTAACGACGCACAGTGAAAATCAGTAAAAATTAATCAGCGACACAACTTCGAAAAAAAAAAAACGCAAAGCGAGGTATTGGTGTTTATAACTATGTCTGTATTGTCAATCAATTATTTATGTGGTTAACTTGGTTCTCGACTTTGAAATATGAGGTTATCCCAAAAGTTCGTTAACATATTATGATTTATATTTTGCAAGTAAAATGAAAGAATTTAAAAGCACGAATGTTTCTTTTATACACAATACAAACTTCCACTGCCCTTACTGCGATGAAAAAATATATTGGGGGGGCTTGGCTCATCAGTGGTGAACCCTCCCAGCGGTTTCGCCAATTCAATCCACCAGACCGCCTCTCAGAGCCCCAATACTGTATTGGACGATTCTGCCCATATAGGGAGCACTGAAGGATGGAATCTCAGAAATGGTTCACAAGAAAACTATGGACATAAGCTGATATAGGACAGTAAAATTACATTCAAATATTTTCATCGAGCAATGCTCTTTCTCATATTGTGTATAAAAGAAACATTCGTGTTTTTAAATCCTTTCATTTTATATGTATAGATGGTGCGTTATTGCTTTGTGTTATATTTTGCAAGTGTTTACGAACTTTTGGGACACCCTTGTAATTCTGAAACTTGGCCCACCTACTGATTGGCCACCCTTGATATAAAACATCAGAGATTAAATCATTCTTCTATATGATTTCTGTTATAATTTTACCATGATTATCAAGTTACACTTGCAACTTGTCAATTTGTCACTTGCAAAATATAAAATCACAATCATAATATAAATATTTTTCTCCCGTAGAAGGGCTCTCTTGCCGGAAAGCTTGAGATATTTCTAAATAAAAATTATAAAAAAAAAAAATTATATTTTATTTTTATTTAACAATTGCAGAATACACGCTATATCCACAATTCGGATATTTGCGTGTGAAATATATACGTTTAAATGAAAAACAATAAAAGAAAAAGTAGTTTAAAGAGATATATACATATTTACATATCAGTATGCAAATTGATTACATTAGTAGTCACTTATTTAGTTAAGTACATTCTGCAGAATTTGTTGAATCTTTGGTGTATGTCCTTAGTGTAGACCACATGTTGCATATTTGTTATGGGAAGTTGATTTAGTTCCCTAAGATCAGCGGTCAGCGGGCAGTCAGTTAATAAGTGTCTGGGGTTCTGTTTTTCGCCTCCACACGAGCATCCAGGTGATTGAGCTTTGCCAATTTTAAACAGGTATGAGTTGAAAATAATTTATATTGATTCAAGACTTTTGTAAATGTTGTTTTGTTTTTTAAACCGGCTCGAAGACCCTACACTTTGTTTAGTAGCCCGTAAAACTATATTCTCTCTTAAACGAAATACATATACCCGAAGTTGATATGTGTATGGAATTTTGACAATTATTGTAAAACGACATTTGAAAATTATCCCGCATTTGTTTCTTTTGAAAGAAAAATCGAAATTTTTATTTTAAGGAGAAATAACGATTATTTATAACTTTAGAGATGAAGTATGAAAGAATGAATTGTGAAGAGTAATGATAAACGGAAAATTAAGTGTCCAGGGATGGGAATCGAACCCACAGTGTTCTGCTTACTGGGCAGATCTCAACACTATTGGACCCGTCTCCCCCTGATCTCCGCGGATCCTGTCCCACTGATATATCCCGGCTCTCCTGGCCTCACCTGGCGATGATCCCCTGGCTACCCATACCCAGGCCCCTCCAACTGTGATTTATCTATATTCCGCTTTATGTGTCCATTGGGGCTCAAAAATAATTCATTTTGGTTAGCAGCCCCGTAAATAAAGATATTTCCTCCTTACTGGGCAGATGCCATGTCCACTAGGCTACCCTGGACATATTTTCCAAAACACCATCACTAAAATTAAAGATAGTCTTGATGTTCTATATAATCGTGAAACTTCCCCTTCCACACTGAAGTTGGTCTCAAGCTGGCTAAACAGCCCCTTAGTTGCCCTTAAAACCATATTCTCTCTTAAACGAAAGACCTGTACACAAAACTAATATGTGCATGGAATTTTGAAAATTAAAAAAACATCTTTCTACAGCTTCGTGAAACAACATCACTAAGATTAAAGACAGTGTTGATGTTCTATATAATCGTGGAAACTTTGCCATCCAACCTGAAGTCAAGCTGGCTAAACAGCGCCGTTGGCCTCTTTCCAGCTCTCGAGACTGCACGGGAAAATAGCCTTTCTTTCGGAACCCACTGGGCATTACGGCCGAGTTGGATGGAGTGTTGGGACAGTTTGGGTGACATAGATTGACATTGATATTGATAGCTGGCAATTAAATTTAATTACCTAATATATATTTGTTTCAGTTGCACGATAAGGAGATACCTAATTTCATAATTTATGCACCTTATCCCAGTACAATATCACATTTGTACTATTTTTTTCACATTGTGTCACGGTCTCACGCAATTCTGGCCTTAACTACCCGTTTCATGATTTTTCAGGATGCCCTGAATGACCAAATTTTTGGTCGTTGAGTTACAGCTTGCACCACGCTGATGAGGGCCAACAGCCCGAAACGCATCTGTGGTTAGCTTTTCTTGATTAATCAAGAATGGGTATTTGGCCAATTCTGGAATAATTAAAAATCAACGAGGATAGTTGATATTTATACCGATAGATGGCGCAAGCCATCGGCAACTTTCAGTTGCACGATAAGGAGATGCCTTTTTTCATAATATATATTTGTTATGAAAACATATTTGCGGAAGAGCTTTGCTCGATGCAATACCTTGTAATTATATGTATGTACCTCTACAGACCTATAAGCTTATGTCCATAGTTCACTAAACACCCCTAAGCTGCCTTCCATAGTAAATACAGGGTATATTCCAAACCAATCCAATACAATAGTAGAGCGGTCTAGAGAATAATTTGGCGAAACCGCTGAGAGAGTTCACTACTGATGAGCCAAATCCTCTCATTCAATAACTTTTATCATTGCAGTAAGGTCTGTAGATATAATATTTGATGATATTTAAAAGTAACGCATTTACAGTAAATTTATTTGTGTAAAATTGATATTGCTAGTAGGGACTTCTAAATGTCTAATATTGTCAATCAATTATGTATGTAGTTATAACCTGGTTCTCGACTTTGAAGGTTGTCCCAAAATTTCGTAATCATATTGTTAAGTAGAAATCAATTCTTTGTATATCTGAAGATGTGTAAGTATTTATTGATGACGTCAGTAAGACTAGAAGATTTCAAGCATCATAAGATAATTCCAACATAATGAGAAATTCCAAGTATTGGTGATGGAAACTGTTCTTTATAGAGAGGTGTCCTCTAGCGGGAGTGTCCTCTCATGGAGGTTGTTCTACTGTATTGGTGATGGAAACTGTCCTTTGTAGAGAGGTGTCCTCTAGCGGGAGTGTCCTCTTATGGAGGTTGTTTTACTGTATTGGTAATGGAAACTGTCCTTTATAGAGAGGTGTCCTCTAGCGGGAGTGTCCTCTCATGGAGGTTGTTCTACTGTATTGGTGATGGAAACTGTCCTTTGTAGAGAGGTGTCTTCTAGCGTGAGTGTCCTCTCATGGAGGTTGTTTTACTGTATTGGTGATGGAAACTGTCCTTTGTAGAGAGGTGTCCTCTCATGTTGGTTGTTCTATTGTATTGGTGATGGAAACTGTCCTTTGTAGAGAGGTGTCTTCTAGCGGGAGTGTCCTCTCATGAAGTTTGTTTTACCGTATTGGTGATGGAAACTGTCCTTTATAGAGAGGTGTCCTCTAGCGGGAGTGTCCTCTCATGGAGGTTGTTCTACTGTATTGGGGATGGAAAATGTCCTTTATAGAGAGGTTTCCTCTAGCGGGAGTGTCCTCTTATGGAGGTTGTTCTACTGTATTGGTGATGGAAACTGTCCTTTGTAGAGAGGTGTCCTCTAGCGGGAGTGTCCTCTCATGGAGGTTGTTCTACTGTATTGGGGATGGAAAATGTCCTTTGTAGAGAGGTTTCCTCTAGCGGGAGTGTCCTCTCATGGAGGTTGTTCTACTGTATTGGTGATGGAAACTGTCCTTTATAGAGAGATGTCTTCTAGCGGGAGTGTCCTCTCATGGAGGTTGTTCTACTGTATTGGTGATGGAAACTGTCCTTTGTAGAGAGGTGTCCTCTAGCGGGAGTGTCCTCTCATGGAGGTTGTTCTACTGTATTGGTGATGGAAACTCCTTTGTAGAGAGGTGTACTCTAGCGTGAGTGTCCTCTCATGGAGGTTGTACTACTGTATTGGTGATGGAAACTGTCCATTGTAGAGTGGTGTCTTCTAGCGTGAGTGTCCTCTAATGTAGGTAGTTCTACTGTATTGGTGATGGAAACTGTCTTTTGTAGAGAAGTTTACTCTAGCGTGAGTGTCCTCTCATGGAGGTTGTACTACTGTATTGGTGATGGAAACTGTCCTTTGTAGAGAGGTGTCCTCTAGCGGGAGTGTCCTCTCATGGAGGTTGTTCTACTGTATTGGTGATGGAAACTGTCCTTTGTAGAGAGGTGTCTTCTAGCGGGAGTGTCCTCTCATGAAGTTTGTTTTACCGTATTGGTGATGGAAACTGTCCTTTATAGAGAGATGTCTTCTAGCGGGAGTGTCCTCTCATGGAGGTTGTTCTACTGTATTGGTGATGGAAACTGTCCTTTGTAGAGAGGTGTCCTCTAGCGGGAGTGTCCTCTCATGGAGGTTGTTCTACTGTATTGGTGATGGAAACTCCTTTGTAGAGAGGTGTCCTCTAGCGTGAGTGTCCTCTCATGGAGGTTGTACTACTGTATTGGTGATGGAAACTGTCCATTGTAGAGTGGTGTCTTCTAGCGTGAATGTCCTCTCATGGAGGTTGTTCTACTGTATTGGTGATGGAAACTGTCCATTGTAGAGTGGTGTCTTCTAGCGTGAGTGTCCTCTAATGTAGGTAGTTCTACTGTATTGGTGATGGAAACTGTCTTTTGTAGAGAAGTTTACTCTAGCGTGAGTATTCTCTCATGGAGATAGTTCTGCCGTATTATAGAAAATACACCAAGTAAGATAAGAAATCTCCAGTAGCATAACTTCAGTATCTCAGGAGGTTTCCACGGGGGAAGGAAGGAAGTATTGGATACAAGTACGTCTCGGGGCCCACTTCCTCCTGCTTGCAGGGCGGAGGCCCCCGTTGCGTGGGATTTCCTGTTTACACCACCTGGACCAATCGTTGAGGCAGACATCAATACCTCTGGCCATCAATATGCTCCCAAAGTCACGAAAAACTCCCAATGATCACATATCAAAAGATATACTATATTTTACAAGTAAAAATACCAAAAAAAGATTACAATTTTTGCAATAAAGTTTCAGACAACGCCTTCACGAGAACAATGATCATCTAGCTGCGATTCAGGCGGTCCCTTGACCTGCAGGACTGGGTCTTCGGGCATGGTCTAGACGATGACCCCTGGCCATCCTGACGTATGCCAAGATCCTCATCTTTTTCTATATATTTTTTTCTTTTATCTCTTTTAACTTATCCTTTTTCTTTATTATTATATATTTTTAACATTATAAACCATTTTTATCATATGTATTTTTTGCTTATTCCTATTACACGTGGTACAGGCCATTATAATCATGGTGGGTAGAAGAAGGCGACTGCTTTTACTGTAAGTACACCACATGTCTACACATGTGAAAAGCACTGACTTTGTATTTACAAATGTGCCAGAGCCCCCTTTGGTTACTTGCATTCGCTGGTGGGGTTGGACTTTTGAAAGAATTGGGGGCCATTGGAGCATTTTTTTTTTTTAATAAGAAAAAAGTTTCCAAGGCGGGAGTCGAACTCGGGTCGTAGCGGTCGAAAACCAACCGTTTTGACCATCCTTCCACCGACCCCCAAGACACACATCTATAGAAACTTCCTCGGCCTGGAACTGAGGAATGTTCAAGAAGACCTTGTCTGGAGGAGAACTCTCTCAAGGTGGGGAAACCTTCCTTGCTGAAGAAATTTGTACACAAACACAACTATATATATTCCCTAATTTTATCTACCCTTTATTTACATCTTATTATATATTGTTTTCCATAAAAAAAAAAAAAAAGTTGTCTAGCTGCTATTTGTTGATAGTTGTAGGTAATTAATCTTCGTATAAGTAACATAGTAATTTTTAAAATTTTCCAATTTGCAGTAATTTCATGCACTTTTAGAAGTTCTTGTTGATTTTTTTTTTTTGAAGAATTAGAAATATTTGAAAATATTTCAGGTCTTGATTTTTATCCTTTGAATGCCTTTTTCGATAGCAATATCAAACAAAACACAACCTGTTCTCAGATTTTTGTTGATAATTGTAGACAGTCGTACTGACGACATCATATATTCATATAATAACATATTCACAGAATTGATTTCTACGCTACAATGTGTTAATTGTCAATTGTCTACAATTCTCTTCTTTGTCTTGAATAAAATGTGACATATCGAATGTTTGTGGTTTCTTGTCCACCATGAAAAGGGAGGGTACCATTGCCCGTTATTCAGCCACATTTCAGAGTTCCCTGTTCACGGTTACTGTAGCGGCTCACGACACCGTACTACAGGACAGTCCCTTACTTGTGCTGCTTCTCCCCACGTAGAGGAGGACTTCTGGGCAGGGCTTATTTAGATGGTGGTGTCTTGTCCACTCCATGGAAAGGGGGGTGCCCCGTTAGTCAGCCACATTTCAAAGTTCCCTGTTTATAGTTACCGTAGCGGCTCGGGGCTCACGACACCGTACTACAGGGCAGTCCCTTACTTGTGCTGCTTCTCCCCACGTAGAGGAGGACATCTGGGCAGTGACATATCGAATACAAACAGTAAAAAACTGTCACTAGAGACC